GTGTAATGTCTCAATTAACAATAAAGAGGCGAGTCTACTGAATAAACTGCATAACTATGAGGGGAGGACTAAAACCTTTGAACAAAAAATCGACATGTCAACGTAGGTTAAAAAAACCTATCAAGTTGGCGAATGTATGTTGCTGAAACCAACCGAGGCGTATTGTGTGATAAAATAGTGTCTAGGCAATATTACTTAGGATTTATCGGATTAAGTAGCCGAGGTGGATGGAATGCCACACCATGTACAACACGTCAGAACAGGTAGAAATAGAGATTAGAAATAATGGCGAAGGTAGAAATAGAGATTAGAAATAATAATATGATAAATGTCAAGAATTTTAAAAACTTGGGAAACGTGGACGCGAATGCAGCAATAAACGAGAACGCAGATCACTCAGCGGTTAATTCAAGATTGGCTGTCTGTTCCAAATGATCGAAAAGAGAACACCTTTAGTTAGGACAGGAGTATAAAGTTGAGTCATCAAGATTAGCATGCCAATTTGTTAAAGTTTTAAATCAAAAGTCAAAAGTTATAGCCCTAGCCTCACCGCTTCCTGCATTAAATATGCACGATAAAGTCTTTCAGTCACAGCAGCTAGCAGTTTAGTCGGATAGCAAGAAGATCAAAAACCAAGTTGATTGTCAGCCAGTAAGTTATTTGATTCAATATAGAGTGTTAAATTTTTTTGATCAAAGACTAAAAGACCTTGCTAATAACAGATAGAAGACTTATTGAATAATAGTTGAAGAGATCAAAATGTTCACCAGTGTTTTCAAAATTGAAACCACAGATGTCATTTTTCATCAAACAGAAAAACAAGATTCAGTAAAGCATTTTTTAAACAGTTTAAAGAGAATCAAAGGAAGCTTTAAAAGAAAATTACAGGGATATCGTCTGAAATACAAGCCGTAGAAGAGTTATGAATTATTAGAATTAAGATACGACTTTAGCAACGGAAGCAGAATTGATTTGAAAGTCTAACAATAGGTTAACCTATTTAATTGGAATGGAAGTACGGTTATAAGATTAAAGAGTCAAGTTAGAAGAAAAAAGTGAGAGATAACATGTTAGACGTGAAAAAATGATTACGATTATATATAGCAGCTGCACAAAAAGCTGAAAACCAAAAAGAAAAAAGACAGCCTAAAGACCGTCACAAAAAAAATCGCGAAAAGTATCCTAGTCAGCTTCAGGGTAGTAGTTAGCAGCACAATGAGAAGGTGGTTCAAAAAAGATGTACGAGATGAAATATTTATAGAGGCCGTTGCATAGCACCTAAAGTGGAACGAGGAGAGTCATTCAGTGTGGTGAGCATTAAAATCACCAATAACAACAATACTAAGGTAAAGCTGACTATTGACGTCTTTTCGAATCAAAGGGTAGTACCCATTAATACCAGGGTAGATACCCATTACCCAGTACCCATTAAGATCTGAAGAAGAAACAGCCGAATTTAAATTAGTTGCACAAAGAGCAAGCAAGTCTGTTGAATTTTGCAAGAGGTAAAATTCAACTGACGGAAGGTTTACTTCAAAGACCACAAATGTTATTGAAAGATATATTGAAACAGTAAGGTAGTAAGGATAGGTTTTTATGTTTAATATTTTGGGTTACTTTGAAAATGATTTAAGTTTAAAGAAAACTTGACTCATTCATGGCACGGCATCCCAACCAATAAGCTATGTAGTGCCCAAAGTTATAGTATTTTAAGATTTCACTGACTTTGAAGCAGAAAAGTACCTAATATTTAAAAATCAAAAAATTGTTTTTCTTTAAATGTTGTTAACTTGTTGACTCTTTATAATATTGGTACCAAATTTACAGTGGCAGAACTAACATACCGTAAAACTCCGCAATGCGGAGGGTGGGGTGGGGGGGGTGAGCTGTAGGGAGGCTATTTTTTGAAGGAACTGTAGTATTTAAAAATTACTATCAATTTAAAAATTTCAATCCTTAATTCAATAAATAAAATATAAAACAACGACAAACTGATCAAAAACAATAGTTACAAAAATGTAAAAAAATATCTCTTTGTGGTGGGACCTAAAAAATATTTTACGGGGAGGCCCAAAATTTGAAGTTCCGCCACTGCAAATATAATCACTTTTTTCAATACTTTGCTTATTTTAGATTTCAAGAGTATGCATAATTTCAAATTTCTTGTTTTGCAAACAATTTATTTCAGCAGATTTTGAATAATTTTTTTTTTTTTGATTCTCATGCACGAAGAGATAACAAATGAAGGTCCAGGGGAAAAACGATGAGATAACCAAAAATCTCATTTTGAGATATGAGCAAAAGAAACTTTTACAACTGATAAAAACGTGTGCGTATATTAAGTGCATATAAAATAACTATTCCGAGATATAGACTTTGTAGAATAAAGTCCTCTAATGCGTTTTAAACGATATTTATCATTCTTAAATTTAGTATTATTGTTCTTGTTGTAACTTTCTAAAAAATTTGCAAAGATTAACGAAATAAAAACGAAAGAACTAAAATTTAATTATTAAACCAATCACCATTAATTTATTTCAATGTTACTTCGATGTCAACATGGTAATAATCAAATAACAGTTACTTAATAATAAGGCAAAATTTGATTTCTGATTCTATCATTCTCGATCGACTAAATTTTTGAAGAATGAGATTAGTCTTCTTCTAAATAGTCAAGTTAGATATCATTTTCGTTATCTTCCACCGCTGCTGTTGTGGTTAGCCCATCATAAAACCGTTTAGCGTCTGGATCAATAATGAATTTCTTCAAAAATATGAGATCCTTGTATTTTGCTTCAGGAATTGGGAGAGATCCATTGTACACATTTTTAAGTGCACTGTGTTGAGGTGAATGGACGCTCTTATTTTTGCTTCGCTTTGGTAATTCCCAAATTATGTTACTGGAAGAAAATCAACCGAAAAATGATGCACGATAGAACAGCTCATTAGGAGTTTTGCTATCAATCTTCAAGGTGCGAATAGTACGTGTTGGAAATGGGCACTTGGTTTTGTACATAGGTTTTAAAAACTCATCCCACGCTTTAAAGAACTCCGTCTTACACTTTATAACTTTATAAGGTGATATCTTTAGTCTAGCACTACGGATTTTATCCCTCCAATCTTCAGGTACTTCAGCATGCGCTTTTTGATTGATACAGACCATATCTCTATCGCATACCAAGTATGAATGGCCACGGATCGGAAAGAAAACCAAAACACTCTCCAATCTTTTCATGTCGTTAACAATATAATTCAAGTATCTCATAACGGTATAGTTTTTGTTCTACTCTGCATAAGAGTCACAAAATATTACAAGCGTATTAACTGATGGAACAAGATTGTTGTTGATAATTTTATCAATTCCTCGACCATTTGGTCGAGGAATGAGCACACATCATCTGATCCTTTTTTGGCAACACTTTCATCGTATGTGTAGAAGTAAGCTTCATCAGTTGCGAGAACATGAATGTTAAATGAGATGAAATTTAACTGCCGGCGATAGTAGACATCATTACTTGTAACATTAGGAGTTGGCAAGTTCTTCTCAAAATCCATAGTGATAGCTTCAACACTACTTGATTTCATACACTTCTTACGATAGTCAGTTTTAATTTCGTAGAACTTGTTAGCTTTTTTCTTGTGCAGTGTGTTTTCCACTCTTGCTTTTTCCAATTCCGTTGTGAATTTAGCTTTCTCCGCGTCACTAGCACTTTCGATTTTAGCTTGTAAGCTTGTTTCATCGGATATAAAACTGTCACATGTACTGCACGTATGTTTCCTTGGATAGCCAAATGCAATGTTGTGATTCGTTTGGAAATTTTCACGAAATGTTTCTTGAGACACCTTGTTGTCCGGATATTTTCATTAAACATTGTAGATAAATCCGAAACATGCAGGTCTTATGGGAAATAAATACGATCCGAATCTTTAAGCGAATAACGAGACTTACGTCCACGCAAAGATTAAATAAAGTTGAACATTAGAGTTACTGTGTCTTCCTTAATTTTATGAAGGCGATTTGAATGTTTTCCTCGACCATTAGTTGGGCATTTACCTGTAGTAACAAAAGCACTTTGCAGCGTTTGAACACGGCAAGCTGTAATTCCGTGGATTGAAAGAAAAGCTTTTAACAGACTTGTACATAATATGTAAAAAAATATGAAACTTTTACATATTATGTAAAAGTTTCATATTTTTTTATTCGCACTCTGTACTCATAACTTGCGTTGAATTTGGTTGCAGTATCCGGATTTTTTGAGCGGCGACGTTGCACTTCTTTCACGATAATTAAGCCACACAAATAGTGACTCTGCAGATCATAGGAGTCTAAGCTGTTGTACTCACGTAGTAGTCGCTTTCTTTCATCTTCACATACAACGGAAAAACAATTTAAGCGTTTGCAGCCACAATTTTCACCACTTTCATGCGAAGCCGTTCGTAGTTTCTTCATAAGATCAGTAACATGTCCATGTTTTGCCCTTTTTCTCGTTAACTTACATTCGCTAACGTCATCAAGGCTTTCTTCACCAGAGCTGGTTGGGTGGTAATCACTATCCATTTCGAAATTATCTATAATAAAATGATTATTAACGTTAAACTAATACTAATTTAAGCAATAACTTACAGTAAAAAATTTAAAGAGAGACCATGTATGACGCCACGCTGTAAAGCGATGGGATGGGCAATTTTAAAACGCTTTTTTCGTAGGATTGCCATTGTTTTTTCCCTTTAGCAATACGATATTCTGAAAGGGGACAAAAATGCTACTAGATGGCACAAGCACAATTTTTTCAGGCAAATTTGGAATTTCATTGTTATTCCCCTGGACCCTTCAAACATTATTAGATAAAAAAAAAGTTTATAAAAATTGAAATACGCTTGCATTTTTATTATTTATTCTTGAATGACCCAAGTTACTCGGAAACAGAACTTTTGCGATTTTATTGTATGCTGTTTTATTTATTTACTTTTTAGGTCTCGTTTTTAGGTATAAACGACCAACTTACACAAAAATTAAAACAAATCGAAAAAGACATTAAAATAAATTTGCATCTTGTTTACTATTTTCTTTAACTATGGGAGCTATTTTAGGGACTGCTTCATGTGCTGCTAGTATAGCATGCTGTTGTGGATCTGCGGCTTGCAGCCTTTGTTGTTCAGCATGCCCTTCTTGCAAAAATTCAACATCGACAAGAATTGTTTATTCAATTTTTTTGTTATTTACTACTATAATTTCTTGTATTATGCTTGTGCCTAAAGTAGAAGATCAGCTTCAGAAAATTAACTGGTTATGTGAAAAGGTATATAAGCTTCTCAAATTAGTTGAACTAGAAATTTAAATTTTCAAAAACGTTGTTTTTTAAATCTTTTTGCACATTTTTACCAAAAATTAAAAATGAAACTAAATTTACATTTTAAATTACTTTTAAAAGTTTTTGTATAGACTATAAAAAAACTTTTATGCACTATACTATAGTGCATGAAAAAAATTTTAATATTTTTATTGATATGCAATTCTAAAATTATTTAAATTAAAATTTTTTCAACATTTAATGAAAGTATATTATTTTCCAATTATTATAATAAATAATTTTCTTGTGTTGTGTTTATGAAAAACATTATGTTGTGTTAATGAAAAACAATGGAAAATTTATTGTGTTTTATCGCATGTGACATCACAGCAAGGGTATTTGTTGCGATATCACACATATTCCAGAATGGTTGTTTTTAAGTTTTTACCATAAATGTCAGCTTAAGGTTATTTTAAAAGAAAATTGTTTTAAAGACCGAAAAAAAATAGAAAAAATAATTTTTTTTTTTTTTTTAATTATTTGATAGACTGCCTGACCTAACCAAATCCTCAGTCGGTATAGCAGCACTTCATTGCGATTCAGGCTATAAGATAGTCAATGTAGCAGCACTCCCTTGTAGCAGGAGGCTATAAGATAGTCAATGTAGCAACACTCCACACATGTTTTATAGTAAAAAAATCAAAATTAAAACAATCAAAATGTTTTTTAAAACATTCAGAATGTTTTTATTATTGTTATTTTAAGTTGTTTTGCCATCAGTAGGCTCATCGACTGATAGGTCTACTAATAATAAAACAACTTGTTGAAGAAAATTAAATAACTGTTTTTATTTATTTGCTCTGTTCTTTAAAAAGATTGAGTACTATTTGTAGAATACACTAATATAATTTATATATATATATATATATATATATATATATATATATATATATATATATATATATATATTATATATATATATATATATATATAAATTGTTCTCTGTTCTTTTGTTCTTTAAAATGATTGAGTACTATTTGTAGAATACACTAATATATATATATATATATATATATATATATATATATATATATATATATATATATATATATATATATATATATATATATATATATATATATATATATATATATATATATACATAAATATATATATATATATATATATATATATATATAAATTACATATAAATTATATATATATATATATATATATATATATATATATATATATATATATATATATATATATATATATATATATATATATAATATATATATATATATATATATATATATATATATATATATATATATATATATATATAGAGAGAGAGAGAGAGAGAGAGAGAGAGAGAGAGAGAGAGAGAGAGAGAGAAGGGGAGAGAGAGAGGCTTTGTTTTAAATAAAAAATGCTTAACGCAATAGCCTAATATGACTTTGATGTCATAAAATTCTCTTTATTTTTTTTATTTTTTAAAAGCATAAACTTTTTTAAATTACTGCAATAATATTAATTACCGCAAAATGAGTTGAATGTTATTTAACTTCTTTTTTATTATTACTATAAGGGAATGTTTGTTTTTTTTTCTTTTTTTTTAATATTAAATAATTAAATTTAACATTACATTTTTTGATATTATGTTACAATGTTTGATATTAACAAATTTCTTTCTTTTCTTAACATTTGCATAAATGAGTTTAAATTTTTGAATTTTTAAATTATTATTTTTTTAAATTTCTTATTGCAGCTTCACAACTACTACTGCCCTCAACTTGTTTCTCCCTGCAGCAACCTTGCTATTATCAACTCCCTTGCTTGTTCTACCTATGTCGATGTATGTACTGAAGCACCCAGCAGTTCCCTATTTCACCAATATACCAGTGTTCTAACCTAAGAGCACTGTTTTTTTTGTCATATTTTTGTGTGTGAATATCAACTACCTTGCTTGTTCTACCTATGTTGATGTATGTACTGAAGCACTCAGCAGTTCCCTATTTCACCAATATACCAGTATTCTAACCTAAGTACACTGTTTTTTTTTGTCATATTTTTGTGTGTGGGTATTATATTATTCAAGTATTTGTCAAAAATGGCTATAACCAGTCCAATCTCATAAAAATCATAAAAGAAATAAAACGAAAGTACAAAAAATCTCTAGTGACTACTAAAAACATTGACAACATCACCAGTATATATCCAACAATTTTATTATGTTGGGTACCAAAATTAACTCCCAAATTTTGTATAGTGTTCAGGAAGGCAGGATATAAAATGGTCTTCAAATCAAACTTGAACTTAGAAGTAATATTAACATCTAGAAATAAATCTAAACTACAAATGAGCAGCAACCCAGGAGTCTACCTTATTAAATGTCATTGTAGCAAGAAGTATATAGGTGAAATAAAAGTGCAAATAAAAATATGCATGCAACAACACAAAAACAGTACAATAAAAAATAAAACAGAACAATCTGCATTAGCCACACACATGAGACATTGTACACAGCAAACTAGCGCACTTATTTCAGAAAAAGACGAAACCACCCCATTGACATAAAATAGATTTACTGTTTCTAAAAATTATATATGAACAAAAACGAACAAAAAACTTTCAAGCTGAAGGCGCTGGTCACAACAATCCAGCGAAAATTTCTTTTAAAAAATAAATTAAGTATCGAGAGAAAATCGTATTTATTGATAATTATAAAGTAATAATATAAAACATAGCATGTTAAATCCGTATATTATTGTAATATATTATGAGCTTTACTTCAAGTTTGATGGGGCGAAATTTAAGATATGTTTGGATTACTTTGGGTTGAGTTAAGGTTAGGTATTATTAATTTATAGTTACTTAGACTTACCTAATATCATTTCATGTACAACTGGAAACAATATAAACTAAAATTACCGAAAACTTAAGAGAATATGCCTTTTTAAAGTTGAAATGCGTTTTTACAAATACTGTTGATTATTTTTCTTCTGACACAGAAAGTGAATCATCAGAATTCAGAAAATCATTTGAAGTCTTCAAAGGGGTTTGCCCATTCTTTGGAAATACACTGTGAATATTTTTTAAACAGAGAGATATTTTTTACTTTGAAACCCTGTGAATATATTAATAAAGAGGAAGGTTCAAAAATGAAGGAGCCATTTGAAATAAATATTTAAAGCATTATTGCCTCTCAGAGAAATTGGTGTGGGGTTTGAAACTATGGAAAGATTTTTTTCTTGCTTGAATGTGTTTAATATCACAAACAACTGTTATCATTGTCATAATCAAGATTCTATAAAGGAAGCATATCTACAGTAGCTTGTGAAAGCATGCTAAAAGCTGCTGAAAGATTGTTGAAGTTGAAAGTGACCCTTACAAAGATTTAGACATTAAAATCACAAAATTGGAATGTATTGGCCATGTACAGAATGGGCACTAGACTTCGTAAGGTTGTTAGCACTTACAAAGGAACAAACTCATCACTCTATGGAAGAGGAAAGTTAACTAAATCTGTGATCAATTTAATATATATATATATATATATATATATATATATATATATATATATATATATATATATATATACAGGCCTTGTTTTACATTGTTATGTTTAGAGCTATTTACATACGCCTTAAGCAATTTTATGTGAGCAGTAAGCGATTTTGGTTAAGTGATTTTTTATAATAAATTAATATGAATTTTTAATATATAAAGTAAATAAATTAGCGTAAAATTTTTATTTGTTACTCTCTAATTTTTTTTTAAATGAAAAGTCATTTGTAGTTGCAAAGCCGCAATTAGAAATTTAGGAAATAATCATTTAAAAGTTCAATTATGCAAATCTTAATTTATTTATGCAAATGTTGAGAAAAGAAAGAAATTTGTTAATATCTAACATTTTTAAAAATGCAATTCTAAATTTAATTTTTTAATATTAAAAAAAAAAAATAATAAATGAACATTCCCTTATAGTAATAATAAAAAAAAATTAAATAATATTTAACTCTTTCTGTGGTAATTAATATTATTGCAGTAATTTAAAAAATTTAATGTTTTAAAAAATGAAAAAATAAAGAGAATTTTACAACATCGAATTTATATTAGGCTATTGCGTTAGGCATTTTTTATTTAAAACAAGGCCTATATATACATATATATATATATATATATATATATATATATATATATATATATATATATATATATATATATATATATATATATATATATATATATATATATATATATATATATATATATATATATATATATACAGGCCTTGTTTTAAAGCGTTACGCCTAGAGCGATTTATGTACGCCTTAAGCGCTTTTTACGTACGCGTAGAGCTGTTTTGGTTAAGCTACTTTTTATCATTTTTTAACTTTTAAATTAGCGGTAACATAAAAGAAGTAATTAATTTTCAAAAAAACCACATTAACTTTTAAATAACGATATGTAAAGGTATTTATTTAAAAAAAGAATTTACTTTAAAATTAATTGTTGTAACTTTTCATCGCGATATATCTTTCCTTTTTATAGCAATTAATTTGACGCTAAACTTTTTATCCAAATATTTAGCAACATGAAAAATTGTTTGTCAATCCTTAACTACAAATTTTTTGCAATGTTTTTAATAAAAAGTAGTAAAGTTTTTAGTAAAAAACTTTTAAAAAATCTATATTCCATATTTATTAATTCAGAATATAAAAGTTTTTTGTAATATAGATTTTTTTTGAATTTTTTACTGAATTTATAATAAAAAACATTTGCAAAAAAATTTGTAATTAAGAATTGACATTTTTTTAAATAAAATCTCAAAAAATGTCTTAATATTTTTGTTATCATGATAACAAAAATATCAAGACATTTTTTTGAGATGTTAAAAAAAATGTCTTTGCTTTTCTTATTAGTTTAATAGTAAATAGCTTATAGTTAGTTTAATAGTATAAAGCTTTTCTTATTAGTTTATTAGTATATAGTTTAAGTTATGC